GTAGGCATCAGGAAGCTCGACATGCCTGTTAATTGAGTCCGCGCGTGAATGCTATGTCTCCTGCAACAGGCGTGAAGTTCGGTCGTCTGACTGGCCCAGTATTCGCACGCGTCCGAAGTCGAAGCCGTGCACTGGCGTGGATGCGTGAGTAACTACCAGGGAAAGCTTGTCCTTCCGTCGTACGGCGAGTTCATGTTGGTGAATTCTCGTCAGAACCCGTTTGCCGGTTCCACCAACATAATTAGCTTGACCACAAAGAGAGTCGATGCGGTAAATGACACCGGACTTTTGGTTAATGGGTACTGGGTCCTTACGCCGCATAATTTTCTTGCGGATTGTTGCTTCCGGTCTGTGCGCGATGCCAATCCCAAATTCGCTGATAAATCGAGCGAATGCTTCAGATAAACCAGCAATATAAGTTATTGCTCGCCAGCGTGTCGGTTCTGGCTCTCCCGTTGGTTTTCTTCGTTTGGCTACTCGCCTGCATTTTTAGACGAATGCGCCAGGAAAGCCATTCATTGTGAAGAGTTTTCGCAGGTACTGGACCTCGGCCTTCTTGTCGGACAAATCAACCACTGGTCACAGAGAACGTTTTACCTTCTTATAACCAAATATCTATTCACATATATAAGGGCATACAAATCAATGGCAAAAGCTCATACTAGTCAAGTGGTAAGTTTTTGCAGTGTCAAGTTCTGAAGGCGGACAAAAGGAATCCTGTTCAAAAACTGATATCCTGTTATGATCGATATATTTTAGGATTATGCTTCACGATAAACAACATCTAAGTGCTGTTTTGGAATCAAAATCATACTTCAGAATTTCGATTAAAACTTTGTGAGTTACCACACCTACTAGAGATGACCCTTGGACACCTTACCTCACCTTACCAGTCGCTGAACCACTGTCAAAAGTTGATAATTTGCACAAGAAGCATTTCATTATGGGTCTTCATACTTATTCAACTACGTAGCAAAACAATTGGAGATTGTCAGCGACAGAGCTGATAAGGCGAAATAGTATGCGAAAAGAAGACGACTCGATCACTGGGACAATACTTTTATTCGCCTGAGGTTTCGAGATCCATCGCGGATTCGTCATCAGAGACACAGTCAGAGAGCAGTAGCGGATAGTTTAGCGTATGCACAGGAGTTTGCAGTATTTAAAGGATACAGTCATTACTGTGGGCATACAACGACAATTAACGGTAATTGCCTTCGTGCGTGTTGGTGGTTTGTTGAACAGCATGCGGGCTCCGACTTGCTATACATTCATCATGCGTGGTGAACTCGGGCGTGATGATTGCTCGGCCAGCTGGCCCTTCGGCGTTGGCGTAGGATGACGCGGTAGCCTGTCCGTTCCCCAAGAGGCGACTTGCTTCGGCCAAATCGAGTACCAGCACCGAATATGGATTGGGCGAATGGTTGCGCTTGTTCATGTATTGGGGGCCCGTGGACCATGACTCAAGTAATTCTCGTCTCACCCGATTGTCACCTCTTGCTAGAATTTCGGCCTCACCATATTTGAATGTGTGGCCGGGTCTCGTCGAATGAGTCCCA